TGTGTGCCTTGGGAAGGGGATCAATAGCTTCTGGGTATTGGGTGAGGGGGTCAGAGCGTGTTTGAGGAGAATCTGGTGCTGAGCCAGGGAGGGGCGACTGTGTGCCGGAGGCGGCAGTGACTTGGGGCATAGCGTGTATTGGGGGAGGGCTATGTGACTGTGTTGTGTGTTTGGGGAGGGAAGGTCTCTATTTCTTATTGCTAGTCTAGGCTGGAGAGGAAGCGAACCTGCTTGTTTTGTTGCTCATGCTGGGAACTCCATGGCGCGTGGGGCCCCAGGGAGTAGGTAGCGTAGCTTGCGTTCTGGCTTTGCTGCCTACTGTGCACGCTATAACCTCTCTGAGCACGTTTCCTCGTCTGTAAAACAGGGATGTGACCAGAGCCTCCCTCAGAGGGCTGAGATTAGGCAAGATCAGCAACGTCATGCTCTCAGCTCCTCACCTTGCATGTGACTGTCGCTGTCTCATTGCTGTGGCGCCCGGGGCTGTTACATCAGTGGAAAGGGACCCAGGGTGGAAGTTGGAGAGAACGGGATGCTAACATCTGTGGAACACCTACTGTGTGCCTGGGACCTTATCTCTGTTTTACAAATCTTAATCCCCACAATCCTGGGAGAGGGACATTATCTCCATTTACACATGAGGAATGGTGCTGGTGATTAAGTGGCTGAGCTAAGTGACCTTAAAGCTAGGCTGCTTTCTACCCTCCAGAGAGGCAGCTGCCTGAGGGTACTATGAGGAGCCTTGGGGTGATCAGTGCCACTTTGAAACCCCCCTTTCCCAAGGCTAAAGCCCAGCTTCTGCCTGAGGACCTCCCCCCCTTCACCCAGTAGGGGGCGTAGGGAAGCACCCCCCCCCGCCACGCCTCCTCTTCTGTTTTTGATCCTGAAGGCTGGAGGGAAAGCGCGATAAGAGGCCTGGGCCAGATCTGCATCCTGTCCTGGAAGCTGCGGATACAATCTGTTCACACCCATCCCCGCCCCCGAATCAGCCCACTGCAGCCCCGGGAGTTTGCAGAGCTCAGCGGGCACCCTTCCCCCCATCTCCAGACAGACACTGTAGGAACAGAGTGTAAAAGCCACAGTTCTTATTCTTATTTTGTTTCCATTTGTGGAGTCGTGGCAGGGAAGTTGGAAGCGATCAGTAGAGGAGCTGGGCATGGGAGACCCCAAAAGACAAGGTCCAGACTTTTCCTTTCCATCCGCACATTTGCTGTGTGTGCCGAGAAAAGACCGGAGAGTGGTCCTAGGGTCTGGGGGAGACAGAGGAGGTGTGCCCTTCTCCCCTTCCTCTCCTCTGCCACTCCTTCTCCTTTTTAGTTGGTGTCCTCCCCCCCACTTCTGCCCACACTCTCCCTGGACAATAGGACAGCTAGGGGGAGGGGGTACTGCTAGCATTGCCTTTCCTGGGGTCCAAAATGCAGAGTCAGCCAAAAGACTGTTGGATGGGGTTTTGAATGAAAATGGGGCCTCCTCACATTTTATCTGGAAGCATTGGTAGTACACAAGCTCCCTCAGGGCAGGACCCCAGCGTGGGCTGGGGGAGGGGACTCAGGGAAGGAAGCTTGTCCTCTTAGTCAGACTAGGACCCGAGAAACTGTGTCTGCCCCATGCCAAGGGCACTGTGCCCATGGGGACGTGCCAGTGCAGGTCCTGACGACCCTTTGAGGGGTCGTGTCTGCCGAAAGAGGAAGTGTTTCCCTTCTCCAAATCCCTTTGGGGCGGTGCCCACAACGCCTTCCTGCTCCTTTCCCTCCATGAAGTTGGGGTACAGCCAGTAGAGTTGGGTCTCCCAGGGTAGGCTGGAGGCCAGCAGCCCCGGCTGGATCAGAAATAGAGGCCCTCCCCTCCTCATTTTGACTTCTGGGTTCCCGGGAATCTCAGCCAGCCCAGGGACCAAGGCCTCCTTGGCAGAAATCTTAAAGGACAGTTCTTTCTGTGCGGCCTTGGGTAGGTCACTCAGCCTCTCTCAAGTCTGTTTCCTCCTTTTTAAAGCAAGACTCCTAATCCATGCTTGCTGGCAAGGCAGGTTGCTATGAGGCCACGGTGACCTGCTTGCTAGTGAGGGCCTGAGTGGTACCTAAGTACCCTGCAGCCCCATTGTCTTGGGGGATGGCCACCCTGTACTAGGACCCAATGTCCATCTGGTTCTGGGCCTCACGATTTTCTGTTTGTTATCCCCTCCAGATGGGGTTGGGGACAGGAGGGAGTCCTGCATGGCACAAGTCCGGGCCAGTCCAGTTCAGCCCAAACTGCTGAGGGCCTGCTTAGCACACAGCCCTGGAATTGTCGTCAGGGATGCGGCAGAGGAGGACAGACAGGCTCCAGGCCTGCCACTAGGTTTTCTCTCCTCCACCCCCGCTGCTCCCCAGCAGCCAGCCAGAGCCTTCCTATTTCCCTCTTCTCCTACTGCCCCAGAACACTGTGTTCTGCTTGACCTGCCCCATGACC